TGAGCCCGGCTGGGGCTGCCCCTGCCCCCGTCCCCTACGGCCGCAGCCCCCGCTCTGCACCGGGGAGAGACCAGACACCCAACTAGGCAGAGGGAGCGAGAGAGAAAGACTAGCGAGAGCGAGAGCGAGAGCGAGAGCCGCCCCGCCCGGCGCCCCGCGCTCGCCCCGCTGCCGCCAGCCCAAGTGTGCTCAGTGTTGCACACAGGTAGGTGCTAGGTAGACTGAGCTCTATATATCTATGTATAGAGACCTCTCTCTCTGCGTATACATACATACACATATCCTATCTATCTATCTATCTATCTATCTATCTACAAGCAAGATAGAGCAAACTTTCACTCGTTAAAGTTCAAGGAGAGCTTGCAAAACTTCCCTGTTTGGGATACAAATTTAAGCAGCAGAGACAGCTGCTACATCTATATGTACAGACGTACGTGTACGTAGATAGATATATACATACAGTATATATAGAGAGAGATCTATAGACATATCGGTGTATATCTCTTTCTGTCTTTCTACCTACCTAAGCAACATTGAACAAACTTTCTCTCGTTACCGTTCAAGGAGAGCTTGCAAGAACTTTCTTTTATATCGGTATCTATCTATCTATCTATCTATCTATCGATAGATTGGAAGTCGGAAACCAGCTATGAAGTAGCTAAAAGCAGCATGCGTTCAAGTATGGACACCACCTATGAAATCTATCTATCTATCTAGGTATCCATCTATCAGATATTAGCTACTAGATAGATAGATAGATAGATATTTGGCTTCTCCTAGCACCTTGGCACCACTCGGGTTTAAAAGGGCTCTTCGATTAAACTTTTAGGAACAACCAAATCCAGGAGAGCAAACACCCCGGGGCGCAGCTCGGAGGATTCACCCGCTCTCGGTTTCTTTCTGCTGAGGATCGTGAATGCAGCGCTTCAGGAATAATGAACGCAATTAATACTTGGGGGGGAAAAGAGATAAAAAGGGGCATCGCTTTGAAGGTGTAAATAGGTTTCCGAGGGCTGGCGATGCTTATCCAGCTCCCCTTTGTCAAATGCGAAGCTGAAGATGAGATCCGCGCCGCGCTGAGCTCCGCCGGGCGCTGGGCGGGTGGGAAAGGGGCCAAAATACCTGGAAAAAAACAGATCTGTTCTCAAACGGCTTCGCATCTTGGGCTCTCGCTGAAATATTTGCTAAACAAGCCTTTGAAGGCAAACCGGAATCGCTGCCCCGCGTTAGCTCCAAGCCCCAAACACGTCTCTACCAGGGAAGACGAGAAGAAAGCGATTCTCGTTTGCTTGAAAACAAACACCCGGTGCTTTGGGGGAGGCTGGAGGGTGCGAGGCTGGGACCTGCGGGGGTTTCTTCCCCTGTCACAACATGGGGGTTTGGTATATATAGCCACAACCAGAAAAATAAAACAAACGAACATGCTTGCAGTTAATTTGTAGTTGTAGTTAATTTGTCGTTAAAATATATATTGTTTGCTTTTGCTTTTGTTTTGTTTGCTACACGCACACACACACACGCACGCACACACACACACACACACACACACATACACACACACACACACCCGATTGTTTTATTTTTTATTCTCTTTTTTTGGAAAGACTTTGCCCTGGGTGTGCGCGCGTTTGTACGGTGGAAGTCGCAGCTGACACAAAAGGATTGGGGTTTTCATTTCATTGTCTCTGTGTATCTCCAGTTTTTGGCTTCCTTGATACCCACTTTCGTTGTAACATTTGCACAGGGCTTTTGAGAAGGATCGGGCTGGAAAAGGGTGGAAGGGTAAGAGGACAACCGGCGCCGCGGAAGTGTTAGTGGCAAAATCGTAGCCTAAGCAGAGGCGGCTGAAAGACAAAAAGGATGCTGGGCTTTAAAAGCAAGGCAACGGCTGTGTTTGAAGAGCTCAGCGCCTGCGATTAGGCGGTAACTTTGCAACAAATTTGTGTTTATCCGTTTGCTCAAAAAGAAAAGAACTAAAGAAAAAAAAAAAAGCCTGTGATCAGCCCGGGGACGAGGGAAGGTTAGTGGGATCATTGCATTACTTTGCATTGCAACTTTGACTACTGGGACTGGATTTATTTGGGAAAACGCAGAGCCACCTGGAGGAGTTTTCTAGCTATTACCATAGGATCCAGAGTTTGTCCGGAGAGAAAGAGGTTTTCTTTGAGCTTTCTTTCTGTTGTTGTGTGGTGGAGCAAACAAAGGAAACAGGTTAGAAATTAGTTCTGATTTAGGTCTAACAAAGATAATGTTTTCCTTTAAAAAAAAATCACGCTTATTTTACCGAACAGTATGAAACACAAAGTGAAAAGGCTTTTATAAACATTATTATGTTGCTTTTATGTCCATAAATTAAATGTTTGGACTGCATACACATAGTGGAGAGGACTGAAACTTTCCTGGTAGTATGGCTTGAACATAGTTTTGTATCATTTTTTAGGTGATTTTCTGTATATAAATACTAGTTAAGAAACCAGTATGTAGTTGGGGCAGGTTGGCAACATTTGATTAAAACACCTGAATTAACACTGGTTTTAAAAAATAAAAATGGCTGCTTTTACTTTTGGCCAAAACAAAATATGATTTAGAATTACAGATTTAAAGATCTAGTTTTTTTTCCCCGTCTGTATGTTACCAGCGCTGTTACTTTTTCACAACACCCTGAGAGATGTTTGCCCTGTAAAAATCACTGAAGAAATAAGGCCAGGAAAGTATTTCACCAGTTTCAACACAAGTCTGAAAAAAGTTACCCAAGCAGAAAGATTCAGAGTTCAGACGTGAGCAGTACTTTCAAACCACTTTTAAGCCCAAAGGCTGCTCCATGACTAACTCTGATGAATTGTATTTTGGGGACGTTGTTGCTTCCTGTATAGAGCGCTATACTGGGACTGAAGATGAATGCCTAGCTCTGCCACTGGCCTGCTGGGCGACCTTGTGCAAAACACTTCACCTGGCGGTAGAGATAGCTGTAATAAATTCCTTTGCAAAGTGCTTGCAGATCTACTGGTGAGAAGTCCTATACTTTCCCCCTCCTATTGACACTCTCTCCAAAAATATTTGTTACTTTTTGAAACTAAAAGCTACAGCTTATTTGATGCTTCAGCATAGCTCAGAAGATTCTTTTTAATTTCCAACAAATTGCCACTGATAATCTAGCTGCTTTTGTTCATGAACTGCTTTCATACCACACCTAAAGGGCCAAAGACTTGGGTTTCCAAAAAGGACAGATGAGAACCGTTCTATCACTTTGCTGAACAGAGGACTGGGACGATTCTCATGGTTTGTGCCCTTTCATTTAGGAAAGAGGATTAAATTTAGCACTTCAGAGGTTTTGTATTTTTAAGTTATCTATAAAAAATGAAATTATAAGGGGGAGTGGTAGTTAGTTGTGTTAATCAGAAGTCAGGCACAAGGCAGGGACTAACTGAATAAGATGTGAAAGCTTCATAAGCATCTGATTAAGCAGATGCTTCATTGGTAGCATTTGATGAAGCGAGCTGTTGCTTACAAAAGCTTCTGCATCTCTGATTCTTTTAATGAGGAGCATGTCTGGCAATATCTGAATGTTATCAATGATTCCTCAACACATTTAAAACCGGATTTTAAAAAAGGGTGGGGAGCAAATCAGGAGGCATTACTTTATAGTTAGGGCTCCCAGGCTCTGGAATGGGATCCCAAGGGAGGTGGTGCTCTCCTCTACCTCGGGGGTCTTCAAGAGGAGGTTGCATAGATATCTGGCTGAGATATTATGATCCCAGCACTCGTTCCTGCCCAGGGCAGGGGGTCGGACTTGATGATCTGTTTAGGTCCCTTCCGACCCTAGAAACTATGAAACTATGACACATCTAGCTCAGGTTTCTCTAAACTTTTCAATGGTCTTCAAAGAAAGAGAGAGGATAGAAACCACTCACCTGCTCCTCAGTGCATCTCCTTCTCACTTAAGCCAAAGAAACTGAACATGTTTCAAGCTAGGCACATGCATAAATAGACTCCTGAATCGGGGCCTAGTGCCGGTTGATTAATAGCTAGCTGTTTTTATAGTACAAAAATAATCTCTCTCCCTCAAGGAGCTTGCTATCTAAGACCCTGCTTCTCCAATTGTGTATTTTAATAAACACGTTATCCTTTATTAAGCCTCTATAAACTACAAATATATGTGCAAATGGGATGTTAATATAAGTGTGACTAAATAGTAGCATGGTGGTTGGGGCTGATATAAAGAAATTGGAAGAGATGCGGGGTGGGGAAGCGGGGTGAGATTCTGGTAAGAGGAAACAGAAGTCAGTCAGCTGTTTGAGGATGGATTAATCACACACTCCAGGTGTTTGGAAACAAGTTTCCAGAAGCACTCAGAACTCTGCATTCCTTTCTGCAGCTCTCAAAGAACGGTGTCTCTTCTGGCTTAAGAAGATTCATAAAGAAATCCTCACCACTGATCCCTGTAAATCTAATTCTGCCTTAATTTTTCTACTATTAATAAAAAAAAAAGTCCACCTGATGAATGTGTGTGGCTGACTGTCTTTTGCAGGCTTCTTTTCTGGAAGCAGTATTAAGCAGGGGGGTTTATGTGTCCTGATCAAGTCTGGAACTG